CTTATCCAGTCAACATCCCTAACACTATTTCCATCATCCAACAATACTAAAATAAAATGACAGTTCAATAGCACAAAAATAAACCCTCTCATGCTAACTCTCATAATTACATTAACCCTCTCCCTTTCCCTTATGGCTTAATTATAAACATTAAGCTAGGAATTTAGGTTAAATTTAGACAAAAGGCCTTCAAATCTCTAAAGCAAGTACTAATATTTAAATTCCTAACCAAATTTCAGGATTATCTCACATCAACTGAATGCGAATGAATTAAGCTAAGCCCTTAACTAAGGATCTTAATTTTTCTAGACTGATGATATTTAAACCCATAAAAATTTAGTTCACAGCTTAATGCCTAACTGAATTTGGCTTCAAACTGTTTCACCTGCCATAAGAAAAAAAAAAAAAAAGGCCTGAAATCTGTAACATTGTTAGTAGGGAAAAATAAATTTTCCCCTATTTCCCTCCGAAAGAGAGAACTGGTAATCAGAACACTTAAGAGTAGGTGTAACTAAAAAAAAATAGGTATTTTATATTTAGTAGTACATAGATGGAGCTTCAAACAATTTAAGAAATTTTGATCTAAACTCCTAATTTTATCTCAAAGCTTAAAGAAGTGAGGAGTATTCTGCTACTTACTTTTATTATGGGGATAAGCCTCAGAAAGCACTCTAAGTCCAAATTCAAATCTAAAAAGATCTTTATTTACCTGGACAGGGACTGTCACCCACATAGAGACTCAAGCTCTGTGGGAGGACAGCAACTTCTGGTCCATTCAAGGAGAATATAAGGACAAAAAACACAACTCAGTGATGTGATTATCATCATATAAGCAAGCCAATGACAGAAATTAAAACATTAATAAATGGGACCTGTGGGCTCTAGGCAAGACTGGAATATTCCATCCAGCATGTAAGCCATAAACAGAAGCTGAAAAAAGAAATTAGCTTTGCATTTGAGTTGACCACAGTCCCAGGTTCAAGCAAGTGTTAGACAGTCATATCCTGAATTTGGGTGGGGGGATCAGTGAGGTAAGAATCTACTTCAAAGTCATGTAGACCCATGAGGGCATTCAAACCCAAAATCTAGCTCAACAATGACCACCACTGCATCCTGAGAAAGGTA